TTAAAGTTACCCTTCGTTAAAATGCACTTTGGTTTGGATGTGTCTCCACATCAGCCCTTGCCAAAGGCTCCAAATCCCAACTTGGAGAGTTTGGGAAGTGGAAGGGGCAAAGCAACCTTGGGTTTTCCTTCTGTTTGATTTCCTGCAAAACTGGTGGTGGAGAAAAAGCGCTTTGGAAGTGGCGAAACTGAGACCTGGAGCTGGAGCGATCCGTGGAGTCCCCCTCTCCAGCCAGGAGCAGAGCAGGGGGATCCCAGCTGGAGAACAAGAATGGGAATATTCAGAAGCATTTAATGCAAAGATCCAGCTGTTTATTGACATCTTTGAGATGGTCTGTCTGAAATATTTGGAATTTGATGGAGTGAAATGAGTTGGAGCATCCCTTTGTCTCGCTCTCGGGGTTTAGAGCTGTGGGATGTAAAATATTAGAGGGTAAAACCCTTCATTTGTCTGGACCTTGCTCTGAACGTGGAGCAACTTAGAGTTTAAAAAAAAAAAAAGAAAACAAAGCACAAACCAACAAGCAAGTAAAGAAAACACCAGACGTTTCCTGCATCTCTCCCCTGCTCCTTTCCCTTGGGATGGGGTGATGCGGGATCCTCCAGGAATAGGACACCAATCCTTGTAGGATGAGCCTAAACAGAGCCCAGCTGGAGTGAGGGGAGTTTGAAAGGTGGCATCAGGAGGAATTTCTCCCTGGAAAGGGTGGTGAGGCCTTGGCAGGGGCTGCCCAGGGAGGTTTGGAGTGCCCAGCCCTGGAGGTGTCCCGGGAAGGCCTGGCCGTGGCACTCAGTGCTCTGGGCTGGGGGACAGGGTGGAATCGATGATCCTGGAGGCCTTTTCCACCCTCAGGGAATCCTGGGATGCTGGATTGTCACTTTTGAGGGTGTTTAAAAGTGCTGGAGTTTCCAAGGAGATGCAGAAGAGACATTCCAAGGGAAAGCCTGAGGTTGCATCCCTTTGACAAAGCCCGGGGGGGTGTGGGGGCTCCAACAGGGCCTTCATGTGACCTTGGTACAAGAATTTGGCACCCGAGGCCGTGGTTGGGTGATGAACATGGGTTGGGGTTGGGGTTGAGTGGTGTTACGTGGCCACTTTTGCAGCGTTTCTCCCTGTCCTGGGATTTCCCAGAATGCCAGAATGTTACAAGTTGGAAGGGCCCCCCAAGGCTCATGGAAATCCAGTTTGCAGGGGCTGTGCCAGGGAGGTGGCCATGGCTCACTGCTTGAGTTATACAAGTGACTTCAATCAGTTTATCCCATCTCAGATACTCCCAATAGAGCCTTGAATGAATCCAAATCCATGTGGTGGTTTGGATAAGGAAGGACCACGCCCTGGTTGGTGCCTTGTTCTGGTGTCTTGTAGGAGGAAGAGGAGGTCAAACCACTGGAATTGTCCCTTCCCTGTTGGGTCTGGTTGTGCTTGTGGGCAGGTCCCGATCCCTGAGCACCCTGGGAAGGAGCAGCTGAGGATTCCCAGTGGAAGGGGAATCCCGGTGGCCGCGGGCCAGCGGTCGGAGCGGTGGCACCTGCCCGGCTCCCTCGTGCCCGGGGGCAGCACGCCAGGGCTGGAGGGGGCCCTGCCCACGTGGGCAGAGCTCTGGCAGGGCCACGCAGCTCCTGAGGTGTGTCCTGGGCACATCCAGGAGCAGCTGCTCCAGTTGGGGCTGGGGACACTCCAGGTTCTCTTTCCTGGCCGTTTTCCACCAGGAACTGAGCTTGGCGTGGCCTGAGGCTGCTCTGGGGTCGGACTGTGGGAGGCTCTCCCTGAAGGTCTGTCCTGAGTGCAGGTGGCGAGTGGCACATGGGAGGTTTATCTTTATTTATTTATTCCTTGTAAGTTTGGTTGTTGAAGTTGGTCACATTTTGGTGGTCCCTGGATCATCTCAGAGCAGACCTCGAGTCATGTCTTTGAGTGTCCAGAGCAACTCTCAGCCCAAGGCTTTCACAGGCCCTTCACCCGAGCATTTGCTGGCCTGGTCACATTCCAGATGGGATCTGAATTGGGAATTCACGCAACATTCCGTTGGAATTCAGTTGGAATAACATCCAGTAGGAATTTTGGGGGAAGCTTCCAACAGGAGCGTGGAGAACATGGTCTCCTCACCCTCACTGTGGAGCAGAGCAGGAAGGGTGGCTCCTGCAGGACTGGGGCATTGCCATGGAATCATGGAATGACTTTGGCTGGAAGGGACATTAAAGCCCATCCAGTCCCACCCCCTGCCACGGGCAGAGACACCTTCCACTAGCCCAGCTTGCTCCAACCTGGCCTTGGACACTTCAGGGATGGGGCAGCCACAGCTGCTCTGGGAATTCCATTGCAGTGCCTCCCCACCCTCACAGGGAAGAATTCCTTCCTAAATCCTGAGCCTTGCCAAACCCATGCCAAAACCCAAGGACACTGTGACTGTGGAGGGTTGGCTCCTCTTAACCCTACTGCACAAATCCAGTGGATTAGAAGCCTGAGGAGCCCCATTTCTGCTCCAGATCCCAGTCTGGGTGAGAACAGACCTGGAATATCGTCCAAGACCCAGCAGGACACAGCTCTTGGAGCCTGGTGACAGCAGCCAGTGATGGTCATTCCTTCCTGGGGGGGACACACAGGGCTTTGTGTGGGCTGGCCAGGATTGGGAGACCAACAGTGTCCCAAAAACACAACCCCAAGGTCTGAAGAAGTGTTTGTGTGAGAGAAGAAAACTGGCTCTGCCTTTAGAAACCATTTGGGCTTCGCTTCCCTTCTTTCCACAGCTCTTCCCACTTCCAAAGAAGGTTTCCATTGGGTTAAGAGGTGTGAAGGACTCTCCCAGTGCCCCCCTGGATCGTTTGTTTGGTCTTCACCTGCCTTTTTTGATAAAAATACCCCAAAGTGGGATGTTCTGTCCTGGGGTACCACGTGCGAGGGACACTTGAGAGCATCTGCTCCATTGTGATGGAAATGAGCTCTTGGAGCCTTTGCTCTTCCCGGTGGTTTGTACTTGTAAATTCGCCTTTTATCTTGGAAAATTGTATTCCCAACTGTGTCCTTCTGTCACCTTGTTAAGCCTTTAACCACAGACCGGGATTTGGGGGCTTGGGACTAATTCTGGGATCTCCTGCCCATGGGTTGTGGGTTTTCTGAAGTGGAGACTTTGCCCTTTGGCCTCTTTTATCCTGGAGAAAAGGAGGCTCAGGGGGGACCTTCTCACTCCACAACTCCCTGACAGGAGGGGGGAGCTGGGGGGGGGGTCGGGCTCTGCTCCCAGGGAGCAAGGGACAGGAGGAGAGGGAACGGCCTCCAGCTGTGCCAGGGGAGGCTCAGGTTGGACATCAGAAGGAATTTCCTCATGGAAAGGGTGGTGAGGCCTTGGCAGGGGCTGCCCAGGGAGGTTTGGAGTGCCCAGCCCTGGAGGTGTCCCAGGAAGGCCTGGCCGTGGCACTCAGTGCTCTGGGCTGGGGGACAAGGTGGGGATGGGGCACAGGGGGGATCCATGGGCTGGGAGGGCTTTTCCAACCATAATAATTCCATGATTGTGTCTGTGTTGATGAGGGAGAGAGGGGTGGTCTGTCTGCCAGGTCCCAGGTGTCAGCTGGGAGGAATTCCATGGGATGCAGTCCCTGCTCCCCCCTGGCTGTCCAGCTCACCTGGGAGCAGGGGGAGGCTCTCAGGAGCCGGGAAGGATCTGGGGCAGGGAAGGATCCAAGCTGTGCCTTTGGGACCCAGGGAGTGCAGGGAGGAGATCAGAGCCCTGGTTATCAGCCAGGCAGGGGGATGGCAGGGGAGTCCTGAGGAGCTCCAGGGATGCTGGCATCCACCAGACCCAGTGGCATGTGCTGGAAGCACCTGGGACTGTCAGGAATAGAATCTGGGATGGCCACTGTGGGGCCTGGGGAGGTGGGGGGAGAAGCAGGAATCTCCTCAGTTGTGGGAAAGCCAAGGGCTGATCCCGGGAGAACACAGAGCAGAAGGGAGGGAGCACCTGGGAAGTGCCTGCTGGGGCAGGGGGCACCTGCTGAGGGACAGGACAGGGAGACAGGGACAGGACAGGGCCAACCCTGAGCCAGAGGGAGACAGGGACAGGACAGGGCCAACCCTGAGCCAGAGGGGGACAGGGACAGGACAGGGACAACCCTGAGCCAGAGGGGGACAGGGATAGGACAGGGACAACCCTGGGCCAGAACGGGACAAGGACAGGACAGGGGCAGAGCGGGACAGGGCCAGGACAGGGCCAGCCCAGAGGACAAGGCAGGCCAGGCTGGGTGAGGGACACTGGGCAGTTGAAGCTGCACCACGTGTGACATCCCAACCCAAACACTGACAGTCCTTTCTCACGGATCCAGTCGGGGCTGGGGATGTCTCAGAATGTCCTGTGTGGCTTTTGTGCCACCCTCTCACCTCTGGGTGCCCCCCAGGCTGTCCCAGTAGATGCTGTGATGGCACTGGTAGTTGGGTGCCCGTGGGGTGTTGCTTTCCCACCGTTTCCCACGTGTAGCAGTTTTTTGGGATGATAAGTGCAGGTCCTGTGGTTTGTGTTCTGTCAGTGCTGACTCCAGGCCCTGCTCTGTGCTGCAGGGATGGAGTTAAGGATACACAACCATGGCAAGTTGGGTTTGCTTGTCTTTGGTGCAGCTGAACAGGAATTTCCTGAGGACACTCAATCCCAGATGGGTTCAAATCATCCCCCCAGAGCCTCCTGCTCTCCTGCCCGTCCCCAGCAGCGCAGGGATGTCAGTGGGATCCCCCTCCCCTCATCCACATGTTCTCCAGGACTCGGAGGAGCTGCTCAGTCGTGTCCCATTTATCCTGTGAGGAAGGAGATGTGACAGTTGTAGCCTTGCTGTGTGTTCTCAGGGAAGTGCAGATATTTGGAGAGTGATTCAGGAGCTGGAATTTTCCTTAACATCACAAAGGCTTCAGAAACACAAACAAGGAGTAGATTGCAGAGTTTCTGTTGTGTTCAGTGAGCTGGTTTAGCTGGAATGTGGCTTCCCTGAGGTCACCTTTCCCTTCCCTTCCTCACACCGATGGCTGGAGTGAGCCTGGATGAGGCCCAGCATCCCAGCTGGGGGGTCAGGATTGGGAAGGGATCTCTGGGCAGCAGCCAAAGCCTTGGAAAAGTGCCCTGGTAGTCCTGGAGGGGCCGTGGGAGCCGTGGGCTCTCCCAGGGTACCTCCACTGGAACAGGGACCAGAGAGTTCCTACAGAGGTGGGGAGGAGAGTGGGATGAGGGGAATGTAACACTTCCAAGAGCTGTGTGGGAGCTCCTGCTGCTTGTACTGGATGAAGGGAATGGGGTCCTGTGGGACAGGGAGTGTGCCCATGGCAGGGAAGTTGGGAAAAGCCCCCCAAGCCCAGCTCATCCTCCTGAATCTTCTACAGGGTTCATAAATCTCTTGGAACATAAAGCCATCCTCGTTTTGACTGGAATTTTGGTTGGAATCCTGTTGTTCCAGCAGTGATTCCGTGTGTTGTTAACACACCTCTGGCCTCAGAAGCACTGACATGGTGTTGCTGGGGAGGATCAGGAGCCCCTGCTCTGCTCTTCCCTAAATAAATCTCCAGCTCCACCAAGCCACTTCCAGACCTGGCCACTTGGATTCCAAGATGTTTCCCCATGGAGTTGTTTGCCTGTGCCTTTGCCCAGGATCTCAGGGAAGAGGAGAGTGTGGAACTTCTGAATCAAAGTTTTTTTAAAAGCAGAGAGGAAACAACCTTGCCCCAAAACCCCCCACGGTGGGGGTGGAATGAGATGATCTCGAAGGTCCCTCCCAACCCAAACCATTCCTGGATCCTAAAAGGAGCAAAGGAAAAGCAGAAGTTGGCTCATCTCCTGTCATGTTGAAGGGTTTCCTGCTGCATCCGTGGCTACTTCCACCTCTCCCTCAAATTTCCTCTCTGCTCCTGAGGAAACTTTGTCCAGTTCCCTGTTGGCCTCTTCTCCATCCTTGGGGGGGATGGGTGGACAGATGGATGGAGGGATGGACAGACAGATGGATGGAGAGATGGATGGATGGACAGACGGATGGAGAGATGGACAGATGGATGGATGGACGGATGGGTGAACAGATGGATGAATGGATGGACAGATGGATGGATGGATGGATGGGTGGATGGATGGATGGATGGATGGCTCCTCCCTGGGTGAGGGCACGTGCTGTTTCTGTCTCCCAGGGAGGTTTGGGTGCTCTTTACCCCCTTCCTTTTGCCTTTCCCCTCCATCCTTCCCTCATCCTCCTGCATTCCCACAACTTCCTTGCAAAGAGGATGAGGCAAAACCCCCCTCGTGCAGGAGCTTCCCGGGCTGGAGAACAGCTCCCCAAGGTGTCCCTGGGTTCTGGCTGAGCCTCCTCCCTGGCCAGGGGAGATAAAGGAGCAGGCAGGACCCTCCTGCTGCCGAGCAGGGACCCAGATAGGGACAAATGCAGCTTTATTGGACTTTTTTCCCTTCTTTTTTGGCGGGAACTCGGGGTGTGTGTGGAGCAGATGAGCGAGAGGACTCTGTCTGTCCCCAGACTGATCTCGCTGGAGGCTCCTGATACTCAAATACTGTTGAGTAAAAAGGTGCTGTTGAGTGAAAAGATAAAAAGTTGCCTTGCAAGTGGCTTTAAAATTTCAAACCAGGGAGTGCTTTGGAGTTTTGTAGCTTATTTTGGGAGTTTTGGGGCTCCTTTTTTTTTTTTTTTCCATAGTCACATGTGGGATCAGGAGCGTGGACTTGATCTTGGGTTCCTTCTCCCCACCCTCACGTTCTTCTGGAGGGCTTTGGTGGAGCCATTCCCTGTCAGAATTCCTCTAGGAAAACCGTGGAGCCTTGGAAAAAAGCCTTTCCTGTCTCGCACTGCTCCTCCTCCTCTCAATGAATCACTTGTGCTCTGTGTTGCTCTGGGCTCCCTTCCCTGTTGACTTCAGTGCCTGGGATTTAATTAGAAATCTAGGGATGTTATTTGGAGCTGGAAAACTCCATCAGATTCTTCCCTGGGCAGGGGGATTGCAGGGATAAAAATGGAGGAAATGCAATATTTGCATGTTAACTGCCCTTGGGGTGAGCTCAGCAGTCGCCTCCTGTCTCTGCACGAGGTCCTGTTTATCCCATTCCCGGCGGGAAGCGGCACCTCTTCCCTTTCCCACCTGGAAACAAACCCAGCACGAGGATGGGCTTTTCCAGGGAAATCTGCTGGGAGTTATTTCTCCCCTCTGAATGCTCTGGGGGTGTGGAAAAGGCAGTTCCTCAAATGGGAGGAGGGTCCTTCCTGTGGAGTCACAGGAATCGTGCAGAGCCCGGGAAAGCTCATGTTGGCTGGGGAGGGATGTGAATCCTGGGAGCTTTGGGGTAAAAAGGAGCAGTTTAAGTAAAAAAAGGAGCAGTTTAGTAAAACAATGAGCAGTTGAAGTAAAAAAGGAGCAGTTTTAGCTGGGCTGGGCTGTGTTGAGGGGCTCATTTCCATCGGTGCTGTTGGGTCAGTGGATGGTAACACCAGAAAAAACCTGTTTATAAACAACCCCCAAACCCTGGGCTGTAACATCCCGTGGGCTTGTTGGGCAGGTCTGCAGCTCCCAGACCCTTGGGGACATTCTCCCCACCCTTGGGGACATTATCTCCACCTCCCCCTGCTGCAGCAGGGTGGGGGAGATAAGGGGACAGTGACACTCTCGGAGCCTCCCCTTCCCGCACCACCAAACACCCCCAACAAAGGAGTTCCCTCCATGGAGATCTTCCCTAAAATACCACATCCCTCTGTGGAAATCTTCCCTAAAATACCCCCTCAGGCTGCCCTGGAGAGGAGGATCAAACATGGCCTGGTTTGGGGTCCCCTGGACCTGCTCTCGGGGGGTGTCTGAGCACACCCGGCTTGGGAAGTTCCAAAAATTCTTCCATGCAGGAAGAAGTTATTTTAACAGCCAGTAATATATTGTAGCAGCCCATAAATTGTGTGCAGTGTCAGAGTTGTTAGTTTAAAAATTGATAGTTTGGTTTCATATTTTTAGGATGCTTTTCACTCGGTTTCGTGGTTTTTTAGGATTCTTTTTACTTGTGTTTATTAAAGATGATGCTGCTTCTCACAAGCAGAAGAGTTAAGCCAGCATTAATCTATAATATAATTTAATAATATGATTTAAATGAGTAATTTATTCTATATTTATATAGAGAATCAGTTACTTAAATTATTATTTAATTAAAAAAGAACATGTTTTGAACTGTGGGTCTCGTTTGCAAAAACAGGCAGCAAATCCAAATCTCGGTGTTTGTGAAACGCTGCTGCCCAGACCAGCAGAAGGAGGGATCAGACACTGAAAATACCCAGAATCCCTTGAATTTTTGCCTGATTTGTGCCCTCTCTTCCCTCCCCAGGTTAAAGAACTCGTTCTGGACAACTGCAGGTCGTACGAAGGCAAAATCGAGGGCCTCACGGATGAGTTTGAGGAGCTGGAATTCTTAAGTACAATCAACGTAGGCTTAACCTCAGTTGCAAACTTACCAAAGTTAAACAAACTTAAGAAGGTAAATAAAAAAAACCTCCTGGGCCAACCCCTCCCTTTTCCCTCCACGTGTGTCCAGTTGGGTAAAAACAACTGGATCCCCTTTGCTCTGGGCTCTGTGTTTGCACCCCAAGCTCGAGCTGTTTCTGTGCCTTTCAGCTCGAGCTGAGCGACAACAGAATCTCAGGAGGCCTGGAAGTGTTGGCAGAAAAGTGTCCAAACCTCACACATCTAAATCTAAGCGGCAACAAAATTAAAGATCTCGGTACAATAGAACCTCTGGTGAGTCGGGGCCGGGGGGGGGTGACCCCGCTGGGGGATGAGGGAATCCTGGTGTGGTTTGGGTGGGAAGGGACAGGGACACCTTCCACAGACCAGGTGACTCCAGCCTGGCCTTGGATGCTCCCAGGGATGGGGCAGCCACAGCTTCTCTGGGCTGATCCCGGCTGGAAAACTCCCTCCCTCTCCCTGCCTGCTTGTTTCTTGGGAAGTTGGCCGAGCTTTGGACCAAATTCCCCCCCTGGCTGCACGGGAAGGGCAGGGATGGCTCAGCTGCCCCACGGACACACTGCCCAGGGAGCAGGGCCTGTGCTGCTCTGACCTGATCCCAGAGAATCCTGGAATGGTTTGGGCTGGGAGGGACCTTAAGCAGGTCCTGGATGGGCAGGGACACCTTTCACCAGACCAGGTTGCTCCAGCCTGGCCTCGGACACTGCCAGGGATGGGGCAGCCACAGCTTCCCTGGGAATTCCATTGCAGTCCCTCACCACTCCCCAGGGGAGAATTGCTTCCCAGTATCCCTTCCCAGTATCCCATGTAACGCTGCCCTCTGGCAGTGGGAAGCCACCCCGTGTCCCGGATCCAGGCCCTTATCCCGGTCCCTCTCCCTGTTCCCGGTGAGCCGCTGGGTCCCTCTAGTGGCTGCGGGGCCGGGCCGGGCTCCCCCACCCTGCGGGAATCCCGGGAATCCCGCAGCTCCCAGGACTCCACGGGCTCTGGATCTGCCCTCCAGACCCAGCACTTCCTTCCTTAGTCTCCAGGAGCAGTTCCATCGTGGATCTCCTTCCCCTCAGCAGAAGGGAAGGGCAGAGCTGTTAAACTCCAAGGACTGGAAGTGTTCCCAGTTGTCCCAGTTCTCCCAGTTTCAGGCTCCTTGTTTCCTCGCTGTCACTGTTGCTCCACACACTAAACTGCAGAAGGGAGATGTGTCCTAAGCCTTGATAGAAATACTTAATAAGGGTTGATCCAAACCCTCAACTCTTGTGCTTTTGTTGTTAACATGATAAAGTGCTGTAGGCAGTGCAGATCCCCCCCCAAAAAAAAAAACCAACCAAAAACCCCAGGAATCAATTCCTATTCCATTTCTACACCTTTTTCATTTTCCAAAGGCTGAGGTAAAAATCATTCAAATATTTCAAATGCCTTTTAGCAAAGTTCTTGTGTCCAAATACCCTGTTCCTACTTCCATCTGAAATAGTTTCAATACACTGAACTGGCTCTGGAGCCTTTGGGAGAACTGGCTGGATATTATTTATTCCCAGCATGGTCTCTCACAGCACCATCACCTCTTCCCAAACTCTCAGTACACCTGAATGGCTCTGTGTGTGTTTGGGAGAACTGACTGGGTGTTATTTATTCCCAGTGTGGTCCCTCACAGCATCATCACCTCTTCCCAAACTTTCACAACCCCTGATAGGCTCTGGAGCCTTTGGGAGAACTGACTGGATAGTATTTATTCTCACCATGGTCTCTCACAGCACCATCACCTCTTCCCAAACTCTCAGTACATCTGACTGGCTCTGGAGCCTTTGGGATAACTGACTGGGTATTATTTATTCCCAGTGTGGTCCCTCACAGCACCATCACCTCTTCCCAAACTTTTGTGAGCTGCTGAACTCCAGGGAGATCCTTCACCCTTCCAGATCCCACAGCAGACCCTGCAGATCTCTCTCCACCCCAATCCAGAAGTGCCCAAATGCCCCAAATATACCCAAATAACACCTGGAAATGCCCCTGTGCCCACGGGAATCCCTCGAGCGCCTTCCCTCCAGCTTCCATTGCTTTGGAGGGGATGAGAGCTGAGAGGTGTCCCTGTTTTTTTGCAGAAAAAGTTAGAAAACCTGAAGAGCTTAGACCTGTTCAACTGCGAGGTCACCAACCTGAACGACTACAGAGAAAACGTGTTCAAGCTCCTGCCCCAGCTCACGTACCTCGATGGCTACGACCGGGACGACAAGGAGGCGCCGGACTCGGACGCCGAGGGCTACGTGGAGGGCCTGGATGACGAGGAGGAGGATGAGGATGGTACGTGCAGGGCGCTGCCGGGTGGCCCCGGGGTCACAGACCCACACGCTGCCTCTCGGTGCCTTTTGCTTCCAGCTCTGACTTGGTGGCAAGAGAAGGGTGTTCTCAGCAGCTCCTTCCTGGCTGATGTAAAGGAGAAGTGTCTCAGTGTCCCCAAAGGAACGAGGGGAATGGGCAGGGCCTGAAAGAGCAACTTTCTCAGTCTTATCTCTAGTGAAAGATCGGGACGACAAAGAAGCGCCGGACTCGGACGCCGAGGGCTACGTGGAGGGGCTGGATGACGAGGAGGAGGATGAGGATGGTAGGTGGGGGTGGAGGGGGTGCCTGAGGGGTGCAGGGGCTGCCTGGGGTGGTTGGCTTCCAGCTCTCGTGGTTCCCAGGAGCTCCTGCAGCTCAGTGTCCTCAAAGGAATGAGGGGAGAGAGATGGACGGGGCCTAAAGAGCCACGTCCTCAAAGGGCAGGAACTGAGCTCTGTGGGACCAGAGACAGGGACAGAGCTCTGTGGGACCAGGGACTGGCACTGAGCTCTGTGGGAGCAGGGACAGAGCTCTGTGGGAGCAGGGACAGGACCCAGGGAATGGCTGGAGCTGTACCAGGGCAGGGTCAGGTTGGATCTCAGGAAAAGGTTCTTCCCCCAGAGGGTGGTTGGGCACTGCCCAGGCTCCCCAGGGCAGTGGGCACAGCCCCAAGGCTGCTAGAGCTCCAAGAGGGTTTGGATGATCCTCTAGGGCTCAGGGTGTGACTCCTGGGAATGGGCCTGTGTGAGGATAAGGGTTGGAATGGATGATCCTTGTGGATCCCTCCCAGCTCAGCATATTCTGTGGTTCTGTGGATTTTATCCCTAATGAAGGGTGGGAGTGAAGGGGTGGGAGAAGGAAGGCACTGAGAGGGTTCAGGGAACAGAGCAGCCAGGGGTGAGGATGTGGGGCAGAAATGGGTGAGAAGGATGATGTGCAGTTGTGTGGATCCAGGTGGAGAAGGGCAGGGTGAGAACCTGGAAAACAGCAGGAATTAAGGAGCTGAGGCTGCTCCATTAGGACCAAACGAGATCAGGCAGAAGAGAGGAGTGAGTGTGTGTTGAAGCAATGAAGGAACAACCAACCTTTAGAGGCAGGGAAATGAAGGGGGGTCCCAAACAAACCTGTAATGGCAGGGACATGAGGGGGGTCCCAAACAAACCTGTAATGGCAGGGACATGAGGGGGTCCCAGAGCTGGAGGTGCCACCTGCCCCCAGCAGCTGGCACGGCCGGAGGAGCCCCCGGAGCCAGGGAATGTGCTGGATCCCAAACCCAGCTCTCACAGCAAAAGCAGAACAGCTGCACTTGCACTTTTCCCTCAGTGCTGAGTGGGAGCTCTGAGAGGGCCTGGCAGTGCCTGCTTCCACACAAATGCATGGAAAAGCTCCCAAAGGCCGTTCCTGCAGCAGGGAAAACGCTCCGGGTCGGAGCACGTGGGGTGGTTGTGTTTGATCCCTTTCCCCTTGGAAAGGGGCTGTGACCCCCTAAATGGACGGGGGGTGACACTGGGGAAGGTATGAAGGCACGGAGGGTCCCTGGGGAGGGTTCCCAGCTCCTGAGGGTGACCTTCTGCTCTCTCCTGGTGGGAGCAGCTGGACACTGGGAGAGCTGGACACGTCCCCCAGCTCCGAAATGCATATTCATGGGAAGGGGAGCAGCTGGAGCTGCACCAGTCCCGAGGCTCCACGAGTGGCTGAGCAGCCCCAGAGCAGGGGTGCAGCTGCACAGCTCCCTAAAATCCTCTGCTGGCCCCAGGGAACGCTCCCTGTGGGCTCCTGATGTTCCCAGGAAGGCAGAGCTGGGGCAGCAACATCCTAAAAAATCAGCTTGGAATGTCTGAGTGGTTCATTGTGTTTGTGCAGAAGAGGAGTACGATGATGATGCTCAGGTAGTAGAAGATGAAGAAGATGAGGAGGAAGAGGAGGAAGGAGAAGAGGAGGATGTGAGTGGAGAGGAGGAGGTGAGGATTGAACTTGCTCCAGCTGGGAGCAGTTGGGCAAGACATGCCCCAAATACTGACAGTTTTGAGGACTTTTAGTCCCCCACCCTGTTCAAGGCTCTTCCCAGGAATGTTCCTTGATGCTGGGACAGGCCTTTGCTGTCAGCAGAAATCTGGGATGGGGCTAAAGTGGGATTGTGGGAAGTTCTTCCCTGTCTTCCAGCCTTAGATCCTCCCCTGCCACTCCTGAATTGTTCCTCAGCCTCCTAAAAGCAGCTCCTCAGGCTCTGGCATGTCCAGGATTTAACTCTGCCCCTGGAGCACCTTCTGACCAGTCAAGTTTTACTAAACCCAGGACATGGGAACAAAATTTGCAGCTCCATATCTGTGGTTCTGTGATTCCTTGGGATTTTCTGCACTGAAACTGTGCCAGAATCCAGTTATTCCCTCCCCAACCCCAGTTATTCCACACCAAACTTCAGTTATTCCATAGCAAACCCCATTTATTCCATCCCAGCCCCCAGTTATTCCATCCCAAATCCCCATGTATTCCATCCCAATCCCGAATTACTCCATCCCAATCCCTAGTTATTCCATCCCAACCCCTGTTATTCTTTAGCAAACCCCATTTATTCCATCCCAAACCCCATTTATTCAATCCCAGACCCCAATTACTCCATCCCAAATCCCCAGATATTCCATCCCAAATCCCCATTTATTCCTCCCAGACCCCAATTACTCCATCCCAAACCCCAGTTATTCCACACCAAATCCCAGTTATTCCATCCCAAACCCCAGTTTTCTCTATCCCAAATCCCCAATTATTCCATCCCAAATTCTAGTTATTCCATCCCAAGCTCCAGGTACTCCATCCCAAACCCCAGTAATTCCATCCCAAACCCCAGTTATTCTGTAGCAAACCCCATTTATTCCATCCCAGACCCCAGTTATTCCATCCCAAACCCCAGTTACTCTATCCCAAATCCTCAGTTATTCCATCCCAAACCCCAGTTATTCCATCCCAAACCCCAGTTATTCCACACCGAACCCCAGTTATTCCATCCCAGACCCCAATTACTCTATCCCAACCCCCAGTTATTCCATCCCAAACCCCAGTAATTCCATCCCAAGCCCCAGTTATTCCATCCCCAGTTATTCCTTTAACCTGTGTGGGAAGTGGTTCCTTTTTACGACGTTTCTCCCTTGTAAAATCCCGTTGGAATTTTATGCTCAAACCGTGAAATTTAACAGTTGTTAAATTGTCAACCTGTTAAAATTCCTGCCCTGAACCCACTTCCTGACCTTCCCCTGTGCCTGAATTCCAGGAGGACGAGGAAGGCTACAACGATGGCGAGGTGGACGACGACGAGGATGAGGAGGAGCCCGGTACGGCCCCGCCCCTTTTCCCAGGCAGAAACCCGGGATAGTGGGCTTGGAAAGTGTGGAATTTTGCAGGAGGCAGGGCTGTGTCCATGCCCTGCTCCTGCCTGAGCTGGGGGAGCACTGGGCTAACCGAGGTTTTCTTGCTTTTGCAGAGGAAGAACAGGGACAGAAGAGGAAACGAGAGCCCGACGACGAAGGGGATGAGGACGACTAAACTGAAGAACCTATTTTGAAATTTTCCTATTGTGATTTGACTGTTTTTACCCTGTATTTCCCCTCCCTGCACCCCCAACCCCTTTTTTTTTTTTCTTTTTCTTTTATTTTGTTTTTTTTCTGATTGTAATGTTGCTGTGGGAACGAGAGGGAGAAGCAGAGACTGGGTGGGCAAGGGAATAAAGTACTATTTTTACTGCCACTCCTCCTCCTATTCATTGGAAATTTCTTTTCTTTTTAAAATCCCTTCCTTTAGTCCCTGTAACTGCAATAGTTTGAGTATAAACCAAGTGGTAATTTGTTTCTTATTCTTGGAGTGGATAACTTTGCCATCCGGAAGGAAAACAAGGATCCAAAAAAAAAAGCTGGAGCCCGGTGGCTCATCCCCCAAATCCCACACTTGGAGATGGTGGAGGAGGTTGGGATTTTCCCACTCGTTAAATAAAACACCAAACAAGCATTTTTTGGGGGGGAATGCTGCTGGAATTCGAGGCAGGGCACCATCCCTCCACAGCAACAGGGTGAGAATGGCATCTTGCTCCGAGCTTTTCCTTTCCCCCTGGGAATGACTGCCATTTTCAGCCACTTTTCCCTGCTTTTTGGAGCTCCCTTGGCTTCTTTTTTGGGGTTGTTTTTTTGTTTTTTTGTTTTTTTTTTTTCTCTTTGTAAATAGTGACCAAATGTTTTCCTTGGGCTTGTTTTTCTTTTTGGGGTGTTCCTTTGGATCTGCTTTGGGGGGTGAATTTGCAATCCCTGCCCTGTGTGTTGTGTGTTTTTTTTCCTTTTTCCATTTGTTTTTAATTTTTTTTTGGAGGGGAGGGAAGGGGAGTTTTTGTTTTGTTTTGGGGTTTTTGTTTTGTTTTGGTTTTTTTTTGGCTGAGGTGCAGCCAAGACACTGAAAATGGCAGGCATTTAAATATATATATAAATATATATAAAAAGTGTTCCTAATTCCTGAGTTACTAGTGAGATGAATTTGACAATTGTAATAAAAAAAATGTTCCAACCCTTTTAAATAAGGTGTGTACTATTTTGGTCTGTAATATATAACACCAATAGAGTCGATTTTAAGTGATGAGAAACTACTTCCACTTGTGCTCTATACTTGGAAAAAAGACTTTTTACACCCCTAAATCCAGGAGGCAGTTCAGCATGTAGGGTAGGAGGTTTCTTTTCATACACTCAAGCACGAGATACTAATTAAAATTGTATTTTCTTACCTAGTGGAAGTCAGTAAAATGACTGAAAATGCCTAGTGAATGTACAGTTTTACTTTCATATCCCTCTTTAAAAATAGCTTTAGAAGTGACTTGTATTTCCTAGTCAATATTTCATCTGTATAAATACATTTGCAACAGGTTTTTGGTTTTGGTTTTGTTTTTTTTTTTGTTTTTTTGTTTTTGGTTTGTTTCGTTTGGTTTTTTTGTTTTTGTTTTTTCCCAGAAGAGCCAAACTTTTGAGTTTTATGTCTGTTTGTCATTGATGAATTTCAATAAATCTTTTTATACAATTTTTTCTGTGGCTTATTTGAGTCCGATGGGCCACTGGGAAGAAGGAATTGCAGCCCTTTCCAAGAGCCAGGCTGGGAAATTCCCGGAGATTTTTAGGAGCTGGGTGAGACCTTTTGCTCCATAAAAAAGCTGGGGTTGGATGAACCCGAGGGAGAAGTTGTGGCTTTAATGCAGCTCCTGAAATGCCGTTTTCCCTCTGGAATGTGGGTTCCTGGTGGTGTGATCCTTTGTGCTGTTTAATCCTCTCCCTGTTTATCCAGGCCTGGAAGAAAGAATTCCTGGTTCCTTCAGCCCAGGGAAAGCTGCTCTGGGAGTGTCCAGGGAAGGGCTCCCTGTGCCAGGAGTCTCCGTGTTTTCCTGTCTCTGGAGCGAGTTGGGTCTGAAAGGTGAATTATGGAACAAGCAGCATGTTCTGGATGCTCCCAATCCCATTTCTGTGCCCTGCAGGAGCTGGAGAAGCTCTGGAAAATCCCATATTTCTTCTTAGTTGGATCTTTTTTGGGGGAAAAAAAAAAGGCCTTTTTGGTGGAGGTGGGAAGTGACAGATCCCAGCTATCCCTGTGTCAGTGGGAAGCTGTTCCCACTTTTCCTGGCACTCAGGTCCTTTTCCCAGTCCCTCTCCAGCTCTCTGGGAGCTCCAGGATTCCCAGAGAAGGATCTATCCACAGCACAAATCCTGGGAAAGCTTCAGCTCCGCTCAAGCACCAAATTCCCCTTTGGATGTTGAAAAGCCTCTGGGAAGGAATGGAAAAGTTGGATTCTGGGGGTGGAAAAGGCCCTTTCTGGGGATGGGAGAGTTGGATTCTGGGGATGGAAAAGTTGGATTCTGGGGATGGAAAAGGCCCTTTCTGGGGATGGGAGAGTTGGATTTTGGGGATCTCACTTCAGGTCAAAAGGCAGCCCTGCAAAATTCCTAAAAATACACCAAATTTATAAAAATTCCCAGTAATTCCTTGCTGTGAAGGAATTGTGCTCCCAGGTCAATGACCTGAACCCCACAGGGGCCAATTCCTGTCAGGACAAAGCACCCCTTGATTTTAGGGATATCAGGGAAAGCTGCATCCTCAGAAAATTGCCAGGAAACTCCCAGTTAATTCAACTCCACAGCATTTGCTTAATTCCTGATTTCCAAACCCGGACCTCGGACCTTCATCATCTGTAAATTCGGGAGTATTTTGATTTTAATTTGGGTTTTCATTTTTTAGTTTGTCGTTTCAATGGGGCCTCTGAGGACGTCGGAAAACGGGGAATTAACAATAATCCTGCAGCTGAGGAGCCTCAGACAAAGCCAAACCTCCAGGAAGCAGAAAGTAGGTCAGGATGATAAGGATGAGCAGGGAGGGATGGCATTACCAGGGAAGGGAAAAACAGTGGGAAAGGCATCACCCCATGGCCCTGTTGGGAAGGGAAGGGAAGGGAAGGGACAGCTGAGGGCTCTGAGCCTTTTTCCTTAAGTCCTGTTATCCCTGGGGGTGGCAGAGGGGTGAGGGAGCAGCGGGATGGGAAGGGGGAGAGCTCAGCCTGGGATGGGGCCAGCTTGGGAAATGCTGCAGTAAATGGGGGGTTTGGGGATCAGGGGGCTGGATAAAATCCTGGAGGAGTCTGGGAATGCACAGGGTCAGTGAACGCTGCAGGAGCAGGGAGAGATCAGGAATGGGATACAGGAGAAAAGCTGGGAGGTTATGGATTCCTGGGTCTGATTTAGACCCTGGAAAACCCTGCAAAGTACCCAGAAACAGCTAAAAAATCCATGTGTCCCATCTATCCCTGCCCTCTGGCAGTGGGAAGCCATTCCCTGTGTCTTGTCCCTCCATCCCTTGTCCCCAGTCCCTCTCCAGCTCTCCTGGAGCCCCTTTAGGCCCTGGAAGGGGCTCTCAGGTCTCCCTGGACCCTTCTCTTCTCCAGGTGAGCACCCCAAGCTCCCCATCCCCTCCAGGTCCCTCTGGATGACATCCCCTCCCTGCAGGAGTGACACAGCTCAGTGTCACCCCTAAACCGGGAATTCCTGCTTTGAACAGCTCAGTGTCACCCCTAAACTGGGAATTCCTGCTCTGAACAGCCCGGCTGGTGCAGAGGGAAAAGCTGGAGCTGACCCCACAGGGGGAGGTGCAAGAGGAGCAGCGCGATCCCGATCCTGATCCCAGCTGAGGGTTTTTCCCGGGAATTGCGCAGCCACGACTCAGGCTGGAGATTTTTGGCACATCCCAAACATTTTGGGAACCCCCTGAGCCCCCAAAGCCCAGAGCCCTCCCAGAGCCACCCCACGGGGTCACATCCTGCACCAGCCTCCTGAGGAGGCCCCGGCTGGGTTTGTGCTGAAGTTTGCAGATATGTTAATTAGCTCGTTAATCATCCACCACCCGCAGCTGTAATTGGGCTCCTTCTGCAGGGATCCAAGGAAAAACACTGGCTCTTCCCTTCCAAGGGATGGTTTAAAGCAGTGGGTCCCCTCGGAGGCCACGGGACGTGAACGACCTCACACGGAACAGCCAAGACCCAAGGAGTGGGGTTTCCTTCCAGTTCTGGGGCAGGATAGACCCAGGAACTCCAGTCCTGCCATCCAATGGTAACACAGCCCTCGACAGCAGGAAAAATGGGAAATAAAGCTCAAAAGCTCCATTTCCATCTCAGTTGCCCTCACAGCACCCTCTGGCTCACACACAGGGACAGAGGCATCTTTCCCTGGAAATCTGGGCTCAGTCAGCACACAGGAGGTTTGTAATGGATGGAATTTTAGTAGGATCTGTAGTAATAGGATGGGGGGAATGGTTTGAAGCTGGAAGAGCAGGGAGAGATGGGATATTGGGAAGGAATTGTTCCCTGTGAGGGTGGGCAGGCCATGGCACAGGTTGCCCAGAGAAGCTGTGGCTGCCCCTGGATCCCTGGGAGTGTCCAAGGCCAGGTTGGATGAACTTGGAGCCACCTGGGCTGGTGGGAGCTGTCCCTGCCCATGGCAGAGGGTGGCACCAGATGATTTTTAAGGTCCCTTTGAACCCAAACCATTCCAGGATTCACCTTTGGCCGTTTCCCCCCTCCTGCCCCACCACACCCCTTTGTGCACCCCCAGAAATGCCCCTGGGGGTCCCCCCAACCCCTCGTGGGGGCCCAGCACTCCCACACAACCTCCGGGAGAGGAAGGACAGGAGTGACCAGGGCTGTGGTGTCCTGAAAAGGTTTTATTCCAGCGCTATTCTGTGGTAGCATAAATAACAACGGGCACTGACAGCACATGGGACGCGACGGGGGCAGCGGGACACGCCGGGGGCACGGGGACAGCCCTGCCCGGGGGGTGCCAGGCAGCTCAGCAGCTTGGAGCCAGGGAAAATAGGGATGTATAAGGAAATCCAGCAGTGTTTGGTGTCCTTCCCTGTGCTACAGGTCAAATCCATCCAGCCTGGGATTGTACAACGTGCTGAACCCACCAACGCCCACGGGGCCCATCCCACAGTGTCCAGCCTTGGATCCATCCCGCAGAATCCATCCCTGGGGTCCATCCCAGAATCCATCCCTTGGGATCCATCCCACAGGGTCCCTCCTTGGGATCCATCCCGCAGAATCCATCCCTGGGGTCCATCCTTGGGATCCATCCCACAGGGTCCATCTCTGGGGCAGCACCATGACATCCTTCCCAGGATCATCCCAGGGACATCCTCCCCCCTCCCCATGGCCCCGGCAGTGTCCCAGCGAACAGGAGGAGGGGAAATCCCTCCTGGCAGAGGTGGAAGGAGCAAAAATCCCTCCCCAGGCAGGAACCCCAGCCTGGCTTTTTGTTATTTTGAAGGATATTGGTGCACCTGGAGCTGCTCCCTTCCCGGGCTGCAGCCCTGGGACGCTCACAGGCTGCTCCTGCCAAATCCTGGCTGTGCCAGAGCCTGCCTGGCCATGCCATGGCCACTGGCACCACGGGAGGGATCCCGGGATCCCACTGTGGGAAGGGTCCCGGGATCCCACTGTGGGAAGAGTCCCAGGATCCCACTGTGGGCAGGACCCTGTGCTCCCACCATGGGAAAGGGTCCCTGGCTCCCACAGTGGGATGGATCCTGGATTCCCATCATGGGAAAGAGTCCCTGGCTCCCACAGTGGGATGGACCCTGGATTCCCACCATGGGAATGATCACAGGCTCTCGCCATGGGAAAAGTCCTGGGCTCCCACCATGGGAAAGGGTCCTGGGCTCCCATTGTGGGACGTGGGATGGATCCTGGACTCCCACCATCAGATGGATTTTGGGCTTCTGCCATGGGAAGAATCACAGGCTCCCACTGTGGGATGGATCCTGGGCTCCCACCATGGAAAGGCTCCCAGTTTCCCACCATGGGAATGCTCCCAGCCTCCCCCCACACCACCCCCAGCTTTGGTGATCCAGCCCTTCCCACCCCTTCCAGTTCCGCCCCCGCCGTCACATTTTTTGCATAGGAAAAAGAAATTAATAGCAAGGAAGCGTCAGCTTTCCCGGGAATCCGGATCGTCCCGAGGGGGGGGCACAGGGCTCCTACTCACGGGGAGCCCCCGGCCCCTCGGAGGCAGCGGTTAGAGCGGGATCAGTGCCGGGCACACGCGGATCCATCGGCGCGGGATCTCGGCGGGGTCCTGGCTCCCGGCTGGGTCAGTGGGGACAATAAAATTAAAGAGCGAGTAGAAACAACGAGAGTTTATTTAGAAAACGTCCCTGGGAGTTAATTGTTCTTCGGGCTGTTCCGTAAGTTCTTTAGTTCCAGCTGGAGCTGCCGGATCCGAATGTCCTTCTGAGACAGCTCGTCCTTCAGCCGCCGGATCTCGTCCTGCTGCCGGAAAAACACCCGGAGGAGCTGCAAGGGAAGGAGGGAGAGGGAGGGATGGAGCTGGAGGGACCACAGCGTCCACTCTGCCCTCCTCCCAGCCCCAGGGTTGTGCTGGGACTGGGCCCTGATCCGGCTGATTTTGGGGACAAGTTTTTTAGCAGGATCTGTGTGATGGGAAAAGGGGATGGATTTAAACTGAAGGATGGGAGATTTAGATGGGATATTGGGAAGAAATTTTTTATCATGAGGGTGGTGAGGCCCTGGCACAAGTTGCCCAGAGAAGCTGTGGCTGCCCCTGGATCCCTGGAAGTGTCCAAGGTCAGGTTGGACAGGGTTTGGAACAACCTGGGCTGGTGGAAGGTGTCCCTGCCCATGGCAGGGGGTGGGACTGGATGATTTTTAAGGTCCCTTCCAACCTAAGCTTTTCCAGGATTCCATGATTCTAAACCAAATTCCTCCCAGGACCAAGTGCTGCTGTATCCCCACCCATATGCTGTCCCCAGACAAGGCTTTTAATTAAAACCAAAACCAGCTGAGGAGCTTCACTCTGCTCCTTTCGGGTGCTCCAGGGTTGAGGTGGGTGCTCCAAGGGGCAGGGGAACACCCAGTGCCTCAGTCTGGGAACACAGAGACCTGCAGAGGGGTGGCTTTCCAGGTTCATCCCTACGGTGTGTCCCCCCCATCCAGCCTGTCCCCCCCTCCCCGTGTCCCACCCGTTCGGGCTGTCCCACCTCGTTCTCGGTGCGGGGCGGGACGTTCTCCAGCAGGTCGATGCCATTGACCACCACGCTCTTCTTCTCCCTCGCCGGGGCCTTGAACACAATTTTGGATGTCCTCTTGTAGCCCTCCTTCAGCGACATCAGGATGGGATCTGAGGGGGCAGAGGGGGGACGGGCTCAGGGGGGGCTGCCCGGCCAGCGCCCACCCGGTGTGGTACCAGTGCCACCAGTGCCACCAGTGGTGTTACCTCTGTTCATCCCACTGAGCCACTCGTCCGGGGTCAGGGCGGGCTCCGTGCCCGGTGTCATGGGGTAAATGTCCTCCTGGTACGTCTCGGACTGGAAGCACAGGGAAAGAGCAGCCACTCCATGAACCCACCCCGTGGGCAACGGAGAGACCCGTGGGGAGGGCAGGAACTGGGGGGTGACCTCCTGGGTGGGAGACTCGGGGCACGGGGAGTGGATTTGGGAAGTGCTGGCTGGCACTGGGAGGGGAGGGAGGAGGATGAGCAGCTGCTGAGCTGCCTCAGAACCTGGGACAGGCCCTCCACACAGCCCCGGGTTTGCTTCCCAACACCAGACCCTGATCCGAGATCTGTTTTCCCAAAACACCCCCAAACCTCAGGTGAGACAAGCCCCTTGTTCCCTGGCACCGCAGACCAAGCTGATTTTGCACAACAGAGTGAGAGCCTTGGTAGGTGCAGTGTGGGTCCCACCTCTACTGCCAGGAGCAATGTGGAGATGCATTTCCAAAAAAACATTCCCATTAAACCTCAGGCAACCCCCCCAGGAATCCCTGGGATGTGCAGCGATGGAGAGGTCTGAGCCTGCTGCGAAGAGACCCAACCACAGGACTGGGCAAAGTGGGGCATGTCTGTCCCTCTGGGCCCTTCCCAGACCCCCCCGTGGACTCACCCTCCTGGGCACGATCATGGAGATGGGCTCGATGAGCCCCTTGAGGGTGATGAGTTTGTAGAACCGAAAGACCTCACAGGCCGACACGTCCAGGCCGTGCTTCGGCATCACCCCTGGGGAGCAGCACCGTCTGTCAGACCCTCACAGACACCCAGGACAGCCCCACCAGCACACCCAGGAGCAACCCTTGCCCTGGATCAGCCCTTTCCCTGGATCAGCCCTTTCCCTGGATCAACCCTTGGCATCACCCCGAGGACCGGGAGCACAGGGCTGGGCCACACCAGGTGTGCAGGGATGTTGGGAAAGGGATGAGCAGCTTTTATTTGGGACAAGCATTGATGTCCCCTGCTGAAGCCACGTGTGACAGCAGGAAGGGTGTCCCTGGATGTGCACCAACCCCAGCAGGGCTGAATCACCCTGGGAAGGGCAGCACAGGGATGGGAATGTCACCCTGCAAGAGCTGCAGCTGATGCTCTGGAGCTGGAACAGCACCTGCCAAACCCATCCCTGACCCATCCCTGACCCATCCCTGACCCATCCCAGACCCACCCCTGACCCATCCCTGACCCATCCCTGACCCATCCCGAACCCATCCCAGACCCATCCCAAACCCATCCCAAACCCATCCCAGAC